GCGGCTCCGCGGCCGCGCGCGCGCGCTCGCGCAGGTCCGCGGCCGTCTCCTTTTTCTCGCGCTTCCGCCGCAGATCCGCGGCGCTGGTCGCGCCGAAGCGCCGCGCCGCGTTCTTCTCCCACTGCAGCGGCTCGGCGTCGGGCCGCCGCCGCGGCGCGTAGGCGCCCCACAGGTCCGGCGGCAGCGTGCCCGCGCGCTGCGCGCCCGGCAGCTCGACGCGACTCAGCGTGATCCAGCCGACGATCGGCAGGATGATCTTGCAGCGCTGCTTCCCGCAGGCGCTCGTCGCCACGCGCGGCGACGCGTCGTCGAGCTCCGCCAGCGCCACGATCTCGCCCGGCCGCAGCTCGCAGACGACGGGCGAGTCCATGGCGACGTCCGCGCGCGCGATCGCGCCGCCGCTCTTGACGCGCCACCGCTCCCGCGGCGCCGCGCCCGCGGCGCCCGCGAGGTCCCGGCGCCACTTCGCGAAGCCTCCTTCCAACACGCGCGGCGCCTTGACGCGGTTCGCGGACCGCGTGCGGTCCACGCCCTCGCGCGCGGGCGCGAGCAGCACCTGCGCGTTCCTCAGGAACTCCGCCGCGACCTCGTCGTCGCCGCGGTCGTGCTTGATCGCCGACCCCGTCTGGGACACGACGACGACCAGCGCGCCCCGGTCGTTCGCCGATTCCGCGGCTCTGAGCGCCGCCTTGGCCGTCTCGCTCAGGCGCCGCGCCTCCTTCCGGTTCGCCCAGTCGGCCAGCGTGTGGACCCAGGGCAGAACCACGTCCCCGGACCCGTCGAGGCACGCCTCCGGCGGCAGCGTCGCGATGGCCACGCGCAGGCGGATGTCGCCGAGGCTCGACAGCGTCGCCTCGCCCGTCGCGGTCCGCTCGTCCTCGGACCGCGCGTCGACGATCAAATAATCCAAATCCGCGGTCTCCGCGAGCGCGGCCTCGCGGACGCGGCCCGCGAGGAGGTCGCGGAAGTAGGCCAGGGGCAGGCGCGTCAGCGGCGGCGGCGGGCCGTAGGGCATGGGCATGGGGCCGAAGCCCCGCGCGCCGGGCGTCCAGTAGACCTTGACGTCGGCCCAGGACGTCTCGCCCGCGCCGGGCCGCCGGTCGGGCGCCGCGAGGCCGCTGCGCGAGAAGGACGCGGGCTCGTAGAGGTGGTCCATGCACATCTCCATGGCCTCGTTGACTTTACGGAACTCGTCGGCGGAGCCGCCCTTGTCGGGGTGGTGCTTCAGCGCGAGCTTCTTGTAGGCCTTTTTCACGTCCTCGCCGCTCGAGCTGCGCTCGACCTTGAGCACGGCGCGCGCCGCCGCGAGGCTCATCGTCGGCTTTGTCTTTGGCTCCGCCATCGTCGCTGTCGGCGCGCGGCGATCTACGGAAGCGGGGCTGCCATCCCCTGCTGTAGGCGACTTTTGGCTGCCCTTTTCAACGCCACACGGTGCACTCGACATTACCGTCGTCTCCGGCCCCGCGCGGGCGCGACGGCGGCGCAGTCGCGGCCCGCGTCGTAGCCGAATTTCGCGGCGACGTCGGCGAACCTGGCGAACTTCTTGCCGCCGAGCGCGTCCTTGAGGTCCGCCCAGGACACGTTCGCGTGCGGCCGGTGGTGGTGCGCGGCGTTTGCGCCGTCGGCGCCGTCGCAGGCGCCGCGGAGGCAGCGCTGGGGGTTGTACTCGCCGTTGGAGAAGACCCAGTGGGACCAGGCCTTGGCGACGTGGTGCGCGGCGTCGATGGCCGCCGCGGGCGACGACGCCGTCGACGCGCAGCGCCGCGGCGCCGCGGCGCCGTCCTCGGCGACCGCGTCCTCCGCGAGCAGGTCCACGAGTGCGCACAGGTCCGCGCCCGTGTCGCCGTCCTCGACGCGCGCCCGCGCGTCCGCGAAGGAGTCGACGCGCTCGTTCCAGCCCGCCCAGAGGCCCGCGAGGAACGCGAGCCACGCGCGCGCGCGGTCCCGGTCGCCGCCCAGGCGGTAGCCGCTGCGCGCGCCCTGGTCCGCCAACTCGCCGACGTCGTCGGCCGGCGGCGGCGCGACGGCCAGCGCGCGGGCGGCGAACGCGAGCGTGTCGCGCCGGTGCGTCGACAGCGCGGCGACGTTCGCGGGAGGACACCGGACGAGGTGCAGCACCTTGTGGAACCGCACGTCGCGCCCGCGCACGGCGCGCGCGGCCGGCCCCACGGGGTAGGGCCGCCTGGGGTCGTCGCGCACCGCGTAGAGCCAGGACACCGCGCCGTCGCGGCCTAAACGCTCGTGCTCGACGAGCAAGCCCGCGTCGCGGAGCCGGAGCGCCGCGGACCAGGACCCGGCGCCGCCCAGGCCCGTCACGAGCACGGCGAGGCGCACGCGCCGGCTCTCGTCCGCCCGCCCGACGCCGCACGACGCCGGCACGACCTTGAGCGTCGCGTCGCGGAGGAACCGGCAGTGCCGCGGCGTCGGCGCGGCCGCGCGCGCCGCGTCCGCGAGCGCCGGCGGCGGCTTCTCGTAGGTGAAGAGCCGCCGCGTGCGCTTCGCGTTGCACGCCAGGATGAGCGTCACGCAGGCGAGCGTGGCCATGAAGGCCAGCGGCCGCAGGCTCTCGTCGTGCGGCGCGTTGCCCGAATGCGTGCGCCGTCGGAGGAGCGGCGGGCTCTCGGCGTCGAACCAGCGCGACCGCGGCGGCGGGTAGGGCGCGCGCATCGGTGTGAGATGGATTGCGCTTAGCGTCGAGGCGGCTGGGGCTGGTGATTAGTGAACCACTGTTTCGATTAGCTCTACCATTGCGCCGTGAGCTGGGGCCGCTCTCAGGATTTTGCGAGGACAGCTCAGGATTTTGTGGCATCGCCCGCGTCGCCGCCCGCCACCGCCATGCTGAACTATTTTTTCGGCACGAAGTCCAACTCGGACGCCGAGCAGATCCCCGACCACATCGGGGAAGCTCCCGCCGCCGCCCCCGCTTTCGAAATCGTGCCCGGTTCGCCGCTTTCGAAGCTCGACGCCGCCGAAGCGCAAAAGGTCTCTCGCGAAGCCTTCGCTGCGACCGAGCCCCCCCGCGCCGAGTCCGGCGACGAACTCGAGGACGGCGACGAGGGCGCCGAAGAGGGTGACGAAGACCCACATGTCTACGCGTCCGCGGAGAAGAGCGAGGACTTCTTCCGCGTGTGCGGTCCGACGAAGTCGATCGCCGCGGGCCAAGCCCCGCGCAACCTCGACTTCTCTACCCCCTCCGAGGACCGCACGCCAGCCAACCGGCAGGTCCCCTTCGACAAGTACTGCGGCGCGTGCCCCGCGGATCCCGACGACGCGTACGCGTCACCGGGGCTCGAAGCGATTCTACGAAAGAGCCGGGTCGACGGCGAGGGCTGGACGCCGGTCAAGAAGGACGCGAAGACCATGTCCGAGAAGGAGAAGCGCGCGTTCGATCGACCGGGTGTGGAATACTTCACCTGGGTCTGCTTGGGCAAGTGCTACGACCCGCCGTGCAGCGCCAAGATCCGCGCGTACCGGACGACGGACAACGTCCTGCACGTATACGAGGGTCGAGGCCACACGCACCCGCCCGCGGACGTGCGGCTGACGCACCGTCAATCAGGCCTCGCGCCCCAGGTCAAGCTCGCGCTCGAGCCACTGGCCGCGCACGTCAAATACGATGAGCGACTCATGCTTCGCGTGCTCAAAGACGCGGGCATCGAGCCCAACTTCAAAGATCACGGTCAAGCGCTCAAAAAAGCCTTGAAGCGCTACGTCATGTACCTCCAGCGCGACACACGACGGGCGTATTGGGCTGGGACCTACCAGGAGCTAGCCGCGTGGCTCCACGGCCATGTCTTGAACCTGGGAGACGTTGATGAGCTGATCCAGCGCGCCGCGCTGGATCAGCGACTCATGCACAAGACGTTCGTGCTGGGTCCGCCGCGGATCGGCGGCGTCGGCGACGAGACCTTCGTCGTTTTTTCCACGCTGAGTGATTTGCTGAAGGCGGTGAAGAATAGACATTGGGTGGGCATTGACGGGACCGGACGACTCAACTATCACGGCAAGGTCGTCGTCGTCGTTTCTACTGTCGACAAGCGGCAACATGGGCACCCAATCGGTTACTTCATGCTTAGCCGCGGAGAAGCCGAAGCCGAGGTTTTGGCCGGCCTGGAGCGGCTCCGCGATTTCATCAAGGAGGCCACGAAGGCGACGCTGCCGCCAGGTTTGGTGATGGAGGGCGAATCCCAGGAGGGGTGGTTCCAAACCTGGGACCCCATCGTGACCATGAGAGACGGCGCGCTGGGGTTCAAGGCCGCGTTCCGCAACTTCCACAAAAGCATTAAAGCCTAGTACCCCTAAACTCGGACGAGCCCGTGGTGAAGGCGGCGGCGTCGTCGCGCGCGCCGGTAGCCGCGGACGCCGTCGAGCCTCTGCGGCGTCCTGGCCATGCCGCCGTAGGGCAGGAAGGTCGCGCGCGCCGCCTGGGTCGGGAACCACGCCCTGGAGCGCAAGGACTCCCTCGCGGGGCCCCTGAACACGCAGGAGTAGCTCGTCAAGCCGGCGGCGGCGTTCCTCGAGAACGCGTCGGAGACGCCGTCGAGCCTCTGCGGCGTCCTGGCCATGCCGCCGTAGGGCAGGAAGGTCGCGCGCGCCGCCTGGGTCGGGAACCACGCCCTGGAACGCAAGGATTCCCTCGCGGGGCCCCTGAACACGCAGGAGTAGCTCGTCAAGCCGGCGGCGGCGTTCCTCGAGAAGGCGGCGCCGACGAAGTCGAGGTTCTGCGGCGTCCTGGCCATGCCGCCGCTGGGCAGGAAGGTCTCGCGCGCCGCCTGGGTCGGGAACCACGCCCTGGAACGCAAGGATTCCCTCGCGGGGCCCCTGAACACGCAGGAGTAGCTCGTCAAGCCGGCCGCGGCGTTCCTCGAGAAGGCGGCGCCGACGAAGTCGAGGTTCTGCGGCGTCCTGGCCATGCCGCCGCTGGGCAGGAAGGTCTCGCGCGCCGCCTGGGTCGGGGACCGCGCCCTGGAACGCAAGGACTCCCTCGCGGGGCCCCTGAACACGCAGGAGTAGCTCGTCAAGCCGGCGGCGGCGTTCCTCGAGAAGGCGGCGCCGACGAAGTCGAGGTTCTGCGGCGTCCTGGCCATGCCGCCGCTGGGCAGGAAGGTCTCGCGCGCCGCCTGGGTCGGGGACCGCGCCCTGGAACGCAAGGACTCCCTCGCGGGGCCCCTGAACACGCAGGAGTAGCTCGTCAAGCCGGCGGCGGCGTTCCTCGAGAACGCGTCGGAGACGCCGTCGAGCCTCTGCGGCGTCCTGGCCATGCCGCCGTAGGGCAGGAAGGTCGCGCGCGCCGCCTGGGTCGGGAACCACGCCCTGGAACGCAAGGATTCCCTCGCGGGGCCCCTGAACACGCAGGAGTAGCTCGTCAAGCCGGCGGCGGCGTTCCTCGAGAAGGCGGCGCCGACGAAGTCGAGGTTCTGCGGCGTCCTGGCCATGCCGCCGTAGGGCATGAAGGTCTCGCGCGCCGCCTGGGTCGGGAACCACGCCCCGGAGCGCAAGGATTCCCTCGCGGGGGCCCAGAACACGCAGGAGTAGCTCGTCAAGCCGGCTGCGGCCTCCCTCGAGAAGGCGGCGCGGCCGTCGGCTGGCCGCAGACGTCCCAGACGTCGCGGCGCATCGACGCGGGCAGCACCGGCTCCGCGAGCAGCTCGAGCCGCTGCTGCCGCACGACCTCCTTCACGTCCAGGAGCGTCGACGTGAGCTGCGACTGCTCCATCGTGTCGAGGCAGCCCGGGGATCTCGTTTGTCGATGACAACATTGCGTGCACAATTTGTTCAACAAAGCGTGTGCATGGAGTCCTGTAACGCGTGGGAGCAGCCCCGATGCGGCGCCGCGAGGCTGCTGGAGTGCTTCGAGGCAGCGACAGCGTCGCGTGCCTCTGCGGCGCGCGCTCGCTGCCGTCGACGAGGGCTGCGCGCGCCAAGCGGCCCCGTGCAGCAGCCGAGGACGCGCGCCTCGGCGCAGCGTGTGCAGGGAGCTACGGGCGCGCCCCGCGGCGGTT